TTTTTCTTCAACTTGATTGAAAATCTCCATGTATTTGTATGGACGTGTTGTATTTAGGAATAGAAAATGCACGGCGTGTTCTAATTTGGAATAGACAGGAAAGAAAAGAAATGCATAGTAGTCTTCATTCTTGTCTTAATTAATAAGAAATGAGCAAACGAATCTTAAATATTTTTACATAAATCGTTAGCCCTGACTCTCCTCTACTCGGGAAACTAAAAATGCTTTTTCCACCTTTGAAAATAGCTTCAAAAATTAGAAAAGAGTCAACTTGAAATTTTTCGTGTTCTAATTGCGGCATACGACTCTATATGTCTAATTCATATGTCTAAACTGTTAGTTGGTTTTTTCTTTTCTCTAAGGGATCATTGTGTTATTTAGTGTGACAGACATTCTAATAGTCTGCTCTCTGTTTTTGTTCTCAAAACAAAAACTTCTGAAAAAATCACCATCGATTGAATTACCGTTATGCACAATGAAATCGCAGTTTTCTCTTCAATCGCCATGAGCAGTAACAGACCGATTAGCCGGTCCTAAAAAGAAAATCTCATGGGTTGTTCTAATTCATATACAAAAAAGCTGTTAGTTATACCTAACAGCTGATCTGGATTTTGCAATAGTAAATCGCAAGTACTTTAGTAATTGCGACTGACTGATGATATGAAACTTTATCGATCAATCTCGGCTAAAAATGAGTCGCGTTCTTCTAGTGTGCAGTTATGACTCTTATTGCAAACACGATTCACATAAAAAAAGGAGATCTTAATATGATAAAAAGCAGTTTAACCCCCAGCTTGAATAACAACGAAGAATACAAAATAATTTTATTCCCTTGACTGAAAGTTAGGGTCATATAAACGAAATGTCCGACTGACCGTCCGCAGTAGAGTAATGACACCTGCTTGTAAATTAGCTTATGTTAGCGACATATTCATATTCGAGGAGAAAAAATACCTAATTACTACTTTTTTCCGCAGGGAGACATCCTAGATGTGCGAGTCCGAAATGAAAAATGTCAGAAATTAAATTTCACATAGATCAATTGTGTGACGCAAAAAAAGTCTCAAAGGAAAGTGAGATAGTCTTTATTAATCAAGAATATTCTCTGGTTACAAATGAGAAAATAACTCATGTACAATAAAGTTTTTAAAATAAACCATAGGCCCCGATCATTATCGTTGTCCATCTCTACGAAATTGAACATCATAAAATAAGATCTTGGCTCTTGTGCGAATAGCTACTGTATTTTCGCCCACTACAGCCACATTACCTAGTTTTTCATGAGGCCACTCAATTCTGTCAATAAGTTCGCCTTGTGCATTGATTACAAAAATAAGACTGTCGTCCACATTCAACAAAGCCCAATTATTATCGGGTAACTCTGTCATACGCGAGATAATGCCTGTATCAACTCTACATGGTACAGTGTGAAGAATATTGAGTGCTAAATCTCGAAGTTCGAAGCGAAATTGTCGACTACATGGATTATTTTCATCTTGAATGCACAAGGTAAGTAAATCATTGGAACTGAGTCGAATGCAAGTGATTAATTCGTTCGCACGACATGTGACAGGACTCAACCAACGTTGTTCTTCTTCCCAAGTGCTGATTCGAAATAACTCGACAGCACTCTCCTGTCCCCAGTAGGTAATGAATAGGCGATCGTGACGACAAGTACAGCGTCGAAATTTGTTCGACTGATAGGGTTTTATTTGAGTTATCTCGGTGTAGTGCTTTGTGACAGGATCAAAAAGAATGAGCATTTTGTCAAGTAAAATGAAGAATCGTTTTAGATTCTCATACCAACTGATTTGCCGAATCTGTATACATAATAAAGAGTATTACTATAAAAACTGTGATTTATATGCGCCAATCTCTCTGGTACTTTTTGATCGGTGCTCAACCCGCCTTTGTTTAGTCAGTACTACTGTCTCAAATTCGTGCATGCCAGAAAGCTCTGGTTGGTTTTAAAAATTGAAGAGAAAATTACTCTCTACAACCTAATGGCTCCAGATTCTTCATTTTTGACTCAGTTCTTGAGGTGAGTGCACATTTTCTCATAATGGTACCCTACTTTTTCCGAACTTTTTGAGGAAAAGTTATGCCAAAAATCAACAAAGAGCAATTTAAAAAATCGGGCTCTATTAGGTTGTAGCAGCAAGTGTTAGCTACATCTTGACACCAACGCGACATCTGTATCATTAGATTTGAGAGAGAAATCTGGAACACACGGAGGTCTACTTTTTGAGCCATGATGCTATAACCCTTGAACAACTCAATATTTTGAGCTGAGATTTTTACTGTTTTTACTGTACTTGTATGGCTACAAATCGCACAAGGCCGCTGTGCAGTTTCTTTTGCTACTGTTGCTGATACCAGAGATGGAAAATGGCGCGCAGTGAGACGTATAGGATTGTGTTCGGTGGTCGGACGACCTGTACGACTTTTTGATTGAGCGTTCTTTTCAATCAGTTGCCGAATCAACTGGTTTCGAAAACCAATAATGGATGCATGTCAACAGAACGCAAGAGAAAGAAGATGTATACAATGCATGGTGATGCTATACGAAAGCGCAACACGAGACTAAGAGAGGGCACTCTTATGGTTTGATCAAGAAAAAAAATTTTGCAACCGTAACTTAAGCGAAGCTCAAAACGTATATATACGTGTCCCGTAACCAAAGGGTTAAAATCCTTGAATCTAGTTCTCAGTCTCGGCGGCGGGCAATTCAATTCAACTCACCCAAAAAGTCCAACTCAATTGATCAACCTTGAGAATTTTTCTCGATTAAATTGAACTCAATTCAATAAGCTTGAAAATATTTTTCAATTCAATTCCTGAATTGAATTGAACTGGGATCAAACAAAACTGAATTAATGACTGGCCCAAACGAGTACCAGTGTCTATGTATACGCGTGTGTTAACATGATAAGAGTGAGTTGATATTCTTAGATAAAACGTTAGACTGCCAAAGATTAGAAAATGGATAATATGTGAGACAGATTGAGGAAAATGGCAAGACAAAGAATGTTTCCCGTGTGGGCATTTTAGGAGACTCCATTGGCTGGGCATTCAAAGGGGATTATAGTATAGTCAAGTTTTTCGTCTATAATCTGACTGAAAAACCTAAGATATTTAACTGAAATATATTGGACAAAAACCGCTTTTCTTCGTTTTCTAGCTAGCATATCATTTCAATCACATGGCTCAAAGGCAAAAATCAGCAAAATTGTACAGAATTAGGGCGCTCTCGAAAACGCAGGGGAAAAGTTTTGTTTTTGTAAAATCTATCGTTAATCAGCGAAAAAATATGCTTGACTACAACTTCCAACCAATGCTAGCCGAGAGATTATTCATGAATGATCTCATGCAATGTAGTGGCGGATCCAGAATTATTTTTTGGTACGTGCGGTATATGATAAAAGTGCGAGATACGTGCGATCGTCATAGAAACAAATTATTCTAAGAGAGATCTGCTGAGAAAAAACAGTTTCTTTGGTTAAAAGGTACGAGCGGCCGCTCGTACCGCTCGCGGGCTGGATCCGCCACTGATGCAATGCAAACATTTTTTCCTAAAAAAAATGTTCTCACACAGAGATTGATGTTTGTTCAAAGAGATTCGGATAAATGGAGTGGGAATTAGAGGCACTTACCACTAATTTATAGTGCCATGTCATCGAAGCGGCTCTCGTACCGTGTCGATCGAATAATGTTAATTGATTAGTTTCATATTCTTGTACAAGCAAATATTCACTCGAGCCACCCATTGCCCAATAACTGCCAACTGACGACTCGGCGGTAGGCTCTCGGATGAGACGTTCGCCGAGCGCTGTTTGCGGTACATAAACACCACATTCTTGAGTTGCAACTTGAGAAGAGCAACTAATTGATACTTGTTCTCTTGTTGAATTTCTCGTTTCAAGTTCTAACATCGATCCTCGATCGTGATGTCGAACAAGGTGAAGATCTGCCAGTGAACGACCATATTCGATTTGTAACTTTTCCAATTGATTCGGCAAAAACTCCCGATTTGTTGATGCATTGAGCAAATTCGATGACTTCTCATCAAAGTGTGACCGATAAGTGTGAATGTGTGCATTGAGTATTCTAGTCGATTGATCAGCCGACTGATTTACTTCATTAATCGTTTCACGTCTCCAATTTTCAATATTCGCCCGAAGTTTGTCTTCGATCGGTTGAAATTCAGCAAGACAAGTCGATAGGGGCTGACTATGCATTCGAGCGTTCTCAAGGTATCCTTCGTAGGTTTGACGGTGTTGACCAAAGTGATTCCAGCAAAAGTGTCGATTACAAGAGACACAAATAGCCACAGATGGGATAGTACACAAAAAACATGAAGAAATACTTGCGTGTTCCGCCATATAGAATCGGTTAATGTTGTGGTCTTTACTTTCTTCACAATCGCAAACTAAAGTAAGGCGTCGTTATCATGCAAATTTATTCTCTATGCACGGATGAAAAAAGATTGTTTTTTCTCTCATATATTTACTTAAGCAGTATAAGGGTGAGAAGAAGAACAGTACACAATACAATAAATATTTTGTATTTTTTTAAATCGAAATTAAGTGTAAAATAGTTTCGAAAAGTAAAATCGATTGTTTTTTTTTGCAAAAATGAAGTTGTTTTTAAAAGATTGACTACTTCTTTTCAATTACTGCAACAAAAAAATAGAGGTGTTTTGCTGAATCAAATAAATTATGAAAAATAAATATTTCTTTAAATTATTTCTTCAAAGTACAACCAACGATTTTACTCGAAGTTTCTGCATCGTCATAATCATCGACACAAGTATATCATCAATGCAAGATAAAAATTTAAATGCTAACATTGGACTGGCTCATTTATAACTGAGAACATTTTTTATAATTATGGACAGTTGATCCCCATCCATTTTTTGTCTTAAAGTTATGTCATATAACAGTCTCGATTAGCGCAGCTATTTACTAAAATCGCGACTAAATGCTAACCCAACAAACAAACGACTACTCGATCGTTGATTATTCATCACGATTTCATCCTGTAAAATCCTGATTACGTTTGAGTCTCGATTGACCGCGATCAGTATTTTCAGGAGCTGTTCGAAGCTGAAATTCAGATCGAGTTTGATTATGACTGAGAAATAGATCAGATTTAGTCGCATCTCCTGTTCGCTCGCGTTTCATTGTGTTCGAATTAGAAATCGGGATGCTGTCCGTAAAATCTTGATTATTTTTGGATGGCGATACATGCGGTTTCGTTTTAAATGCGATTACTCTAGATTCAGCGAACAGCTACAATTTATCTCAATTGAGAACAGGGTCGCCTACAATCGCGAAGCTTCGTTTATACCGAACAGTCGCAATCAATCGACAAATCCGTTTAATTGACATTTATAATCGTGCGACGTTGGGCGGTATTAAATAAAAATTGCGAATAGTTGCGAACCGAAATTATACTCCGATTAATGGCGATTAGCGAAGTCACGTCTAATTCTGACTAGTTAAATTCATTAGATAATCAGAAATATTTTTTTCTTATCCCTTCGATCTACACCAATGGGACCTCCATTCCTCTAATGAGGTCCGGATCCCCTTTCCCAGCGATCTGATTAGATCGAACAAGTACTCCGCGCCGAGACACGAGTCTCAGGCACGGAGTTCTTCTCCTAGGCGCCTTACGGCTGTCCTTGATCTACCGCTTATAGACCGGCTACGTCACTTCTCAGAGTCATTTGCCACTCTAAGAAAAGTGGATAAGTGAAGTTATAATTTAAATGAAGTTATTTGCTATACGCACGCTATAGAGGATGAGTATATATAGCAAATTGTTTGCAAAATTTATGTAGTTAAAATGAGTCATTCATTAGTCGATAACCAATCGATGATTAATCGATAAATCGATTATCAATCGGCTGAGTTTTTTTAACAACTATGAAAGGAACTTTTATGCATATTAGTAGTTGTCGAGCTGCTCTATGTGCTACGACCTAAAAAGGCTGATTTGAATGCCATCTTTATAGCGAAAAAAGGATCGCAATGGGTACGTTTTGCCAGATCGGTTCGAAAAAGCGGAATTTATGCAAAAAAAGAATACGCCATCATAGTTGTTTGCATAAATTCCGCTTTTTCGAACCAATCTAGCAAAACGCTCCACTCGCGGTCCTTTTTTCTCTAAAAGGGTGGCATTCTAATCAGCCTTTCTAGGTCGTAGAAGAAAGAGCAGCGCCACAACTACTAGTGTGAATGAAAATTCCTTTCATAGTTGTTTTAATAAAGCACTAGAAGTCCGGCAGACTTACGTGCATAACCCATCATCCAATAGTCAATGGTCAAAGAAACGAATTTCTTGGTGGATCGGAACATAGAATGCAATGTTTCCAAGTGTAAGGTATTGTAGGGGATTCAGGTGATAGAATCCTGTAAGAAGTACCATATTATTCTAACAGAAATCACATGAGTTCCTATGATAAGATTATGTAGGATTTCATAGGATCCTAAAATGATTTCCTGTGTTTCGTACGATCCCATACGATGCAGGTTTACTCATTCAGTGTACATACAGTCAAACGCTTTAACTGATGTAAAATCGCGACTGAAAAGCAGTTGCCATCAGTCGATAATCTAGACTACGACTTCAATCGCGTTTTTGTACGCTAACATCGCGACTTCGCTTTTATTCACGATGGCTCGATAACAAAATCTTTCTTCGATTAATCGTGTTTGCAATAAGAGT